GTATTATGGTGTACATATGGGTTTTATGGTCTCTCTCCCCTCTAAACAGCCTATCCTATAGCCATTATCCTTCCCTACATTCTTATCTGAGGGTTTGTTTGTTTGTTTGTTTTGTAAGATTTTATTTATTTGAGAGAGAGAACAAGCTCGGGGGAGGGACAGAGGGAGATGGAGAAGCAGGCTCCCCGCTGAGCAAGAAGCCCCGTGTGGGACTGTTGGGATCATGACCTGAGCCAAAGGCAGACGCTTAACCGAATGAGCCACCCAGACGTCCTTCATCTGATGCTTTAAAAACAACCTCTGTATGAGGCACAACTGAGTACCTTTCCTCATTTCTCTATTGTCCATTTCCACACTGACACCCAGAGGTTAATTCTCAATTTCCCAATTACCCTCAGACACCCTCTAACTTTCCCTGAAATGATCATGTCCTTAGCTGGTTTACTTGAAACAGGAGCAAACCCACTGTAATCCAAGCATTAGGGAAACCACTAGATTTTTTTTTTTTTTAATGGCTGGCAAGGCTCTGGCTTCTCTCCAGTTCCTCAAAGCAGTAACCTCCTCTCATGATAAAACTGTACCCACTTGCTAGAAACTCAACAACTTTGTTCTTCCCTTTCTTCATAGTTCCCAGATGGCCGCCAGCTGGTCGGGGCTATTTCTTGCATTCTAATCCCTTTATCCTGGTTTTCTTTTTGATCTCCATGTCTTGCCCCTCCTCCTTCTAACAGCCACCATACTATTATACCCCTCTTTGGAAGCACCTATTTTCTAAGAGAATTTGATGATTTTTTTCAGAGCATTACCTTTTTTTTTTTTTTTTTTTTTTTGGCTTTTGCTTTTGCTTTTGTATTATAAGGAAAACCAGCTGCAGGGACATGTTGGAAGAAAAGCTATCTCCAAGGGGAGGACAACAACCTCCTGCATGAAAGGGGTCAGAGCTGACTTTGTTCCATGACAGGGCTGTAGGGGACAAATGCATCTGGCATGATCCAGAAGCCACACCTCGGTCTTCCAGCTGCGCTCGGCACTCTTCGCGGGCACAACGAGATGTCTGGTCCCCTTCCTGGCTTTCTCAGTGGCCAGCCAGGGCAATGGAAAAATTCTGTTCCAATCCCCCCAGAGAGGGGTGCACCCTATCCCCAGTGGTTTGCAATATAGAACTTTTATTGATTTACAAGATTATAGCTAGCAGATTGTCTGAAGTGATAAATCAAGGAAGTGAAGCTAATGCGTCCGTGTCTTCATCTGTGTTTGTTACACCTGTGAGGGGCTGGGCTACATGTGTTTGGGGGAGAGTTTCTGTGAGGTCTTGGCAAAGGCCTCTGCAGGTGATGAGTCTCTGTGGGAATCTGTGTGTGTGGGTAGTATTGCCGAGGAGTGGGGGGGTGGACATATTTGCATGTTTGGCTTGTGTCTTTCTCTGTGTGCACACAGGGACCTGTGCAGGGTGACTATGTGTGTGTGTGTGCACAAGATCCATGTGTGAGTGTGTGTGTGTGCACAGGATCTGTGTGTGACCGTGCATGCGTGTGTGTGTACACAGGATCCATGTGTGAGTGTGTGTGTGTAAAAGATCTGTGTGTGACTGTGCATGTGTGTGTGTGTACACACAGGATCCATGTGTGTGACTCACAGGGGATCAATGTGGGGTAGTGACTGTGTGTGTGCCTCTGGATCTCTAGATGGTGTTTTGAAGCACAACTCTGTCGTCCCCGTGTGGGTGTCAGAGGGTAACGCGTGGTGTTCTGTCTGGGTAGCTGTGTCTGGGTGGGAAATTGTGGAGTGAAATTAGGAGATGTCTTTGGCTGAGTGTTGCAAGGGAAATCTGCGGCAGGCGTGTGGAGGGGTGTCTGCAAGGGTTTGGAGGGTATATTTTGAGATGTTTGCGGAGGATTCTGGGGGTGACCCATAAGTCCATGTGGTGTCAGTGGTGTGTGTGTGGGGTGGTGGGGTGTGTGAGAGTAACTGCAGAATATCTCGGGTATCTGTGGGGTGAATGTGAGTAGGTAGGAGTGGGTAAGGGTATCCTACTCTGCAGCATGAAGGGGGACTTGGGGGGCATCTGTGAAGAGTCTGTCCATTTGCCTTAGGAAATATTTGTGGGGATATCTGTGGGCAAGTTCCTGGGACGGCGTGGCTGGGTGTGGGGTGTCTTCAGATCCTTGTGCCTCCCTCCACAGGTATGTGTGTCTGGGAGATACGACATGTGAAGGCAAAATGACCTCAGAAAATTCCCACAGAAGCACACCTTATTCTGCGTTAGTGCCTCATTGTCCCCAGCATGTGACTGGGACAGACCCAGTTCCCTGGCCACAGCGGGCAGCTCTCGTTGGGATGCTCCCATCACCAACCGTGATTTGCCAATGCCTTTCCTTTACACAGCTGGCCTCTGAGGGCACAACATGGCTTGGGCGTCCCTCTCTCCTGATGGGACCAGCCGTGAGCTCCTGCTCTCTCCTGTGAGGTGTGCATAGCTGTGCGGTACTCACCCTGTTCCCAGGGCACCCTCCTTGTACTGAGGGAGGCCTCAGCTGATAAGAGCACAAACTTGTCACCTCCAGGACTAACTGGAGAGATAGAAGAGGGCACATGTCCAGCATCCTTCCTTCTAGCCATCTTCCAAAAATGATGTAAAAGTGCAAGAGACACTTGGATTTCAACCCACTTTTCTCCAAAGGGAGAAAACGAGATGTCCTACAGAGATAGTGTTTTTCACTTTCTCCAGCCAGCTTCAAATTCCCCGATGATACGTCCATTCAGAGGAATCCTGCATCTCCTCATCAAGAGGCCATTGTTGCCAAAGCGGTATTTATGTTTCATGGTTGTAGCACTGGTGTTCGGCATTAACAATGAAGTCCTTTCAGTAGCTCCACGACGCGACTTGCATTGGATCCCAGGCTTGCAGATGGGGAAAGCAAAGCGGAAGGAGGTTGCAGTCCTGCCGGAGGCCTTCATGGCCCAGATCCCAGAGATGCCCTTCTTCATGTGGGACTCGCCAGGCCCTCCTTCAGCGAGCTTCCCCGGGCCCTCCTGTGCTCACTCCAGCTTCGGTGGGGAATATTCCAGGAGCAAACCCAGCCCAAGCAAAGCAAAACTTGCAGGGAGGCAGGTGAACGGGCTTATTTACACGGCGGTCTTGAGCGCTACAGCACGCTTATCATGGGGGCATTAAATGTCCCTCCGAGTAGCTACTACAGAGTGATCTTAGCCAGCTTCTTCTGAAGGAAGGTGTTTGATGAACATCAAAGCCAAAAGCCAGGGGTGTTCATTCCTGTCGTACCCCTTCCTATTCACTTCCGATGAAACTTCTCCAGTTTCCAAGAAGCACCCAGGTGGTCATTCCTTCCCCTCTCTCTGTCCAGCTGACACAGCAAGGGCTTTGTTGGCCCTTTGGCAGGTGCTGGGATGCCCGCCACCTGAGCCCCAGTCCCAGGACACACTCATGGGCTATGCTTCTCAGTCAGATGAGCCCAGGCACTCATCTTCTTTGTCCTCCTTCTGGATACACCTGCATTACCTCATTCGACTCTCAAAACCCCTCGAGGAAGAAAGTGGGGTGGGTATTGGTGTTTTCAGGGTATGAGTGGGGACATGGGAGCAGAGGTAAGGATCTGGAGACAGCCACACTGCAGGGAACACATGGACAGAGACCGGATCTGCAAGCCGGCATCTCCCATCTCTTCAGCCTCCTTCCCCCGGCTCTCCTGTCTGGAGGACAGGTGCTGTCCTTTCTAACAGCATCCATTCTACTAAAAGATGAGGCATCGCTCTAGAGCCTCCCAACTAGGTGGTAAGTGAGAAAGCCGCAGGGGCAGCGCAGACAGTGAGACTTACAGAAGGAGGGCTGCGCGCGGTGATGGGGCAGGCTCCAGAAAGCACAGGATTCCATCCATGCACTGAGGGTGGGAGAGGGATTTGAAAAGCCAGGATGGAGGGAACGGCATACTTCAAATGTGTAGTTTGGAAGCCAAGACCTGGAGGCACGCAAGATTCTGGCATGGCCCACACTGGAGCCTGCGAGGAGATGGGTTCGGCAGGCTGGGCAGGGCAAAGAGGCATGTAAAGAAGGGGCAAAAGGGAGAGGTGACAGGAAGAGAGAATTCCCCAGGTCGGGGAGGGGGTCCATGCCCTCTGGAGACATATCACAGAAGACACCCGGTGTGTTGGGGTTTTGGTACTTTAGTTTCAGGCTTTGTAGTAAAGCCTGGCTAGTCGTTTACCACACACACGGCCATCTCGGCGACTGTTCACCTGTCCCAGCTTCCATTGCAATTAAGGTGACCATGTGACTGACTTCTGGACTATGGGCAGAAGCGATCTAGGCACTTCTAGGTGTGGTCCCCAAATCCTCCTGTCTGACCCTCACTCAGCTCTCTTCCTTCATCTGTTGCCTGGATGTAGAGGGTCCAAGGTCCTGGGGAAGGCTGGGTCCTTGAACCACCACACAGAGGCCACTCACCAAATGCATGCCGTGAACTGTTAGGTGAGCAGGAGATACGTTCCTATTGTGAGAAGCCACGGAATTCAGGGGGGCTGTCTGTTTCAGCAGCTTGCCTACGCAGGGCAGACTGGTTGTGCTTCATCTGAGCCTCTGAACGTTTTCTGTTTAGCTGAACTGTTCATCCTGGCTTTGTCTGTGACTAGTTTGGGTTTCACTGCTCTCTACCCTGAACCAAGCAAAATGGCTGGACCTACCCTTAGGAAGCATATCTTGAGGGAATGAATAAACGTACCAATTTTGGCGGGCCATAGTGGTACTGTAGCTATGATAGGGGCTCCATGGTTGGAGCAGAGAACTGAGTATATCAGGGGGTAGGAAAGTGAAGACACAGTCTAAGAAAGGAAGAAAAAGCTAATCCAAACCCTAAGCTGTCTTAAGAACATTTTCCCATTTGTTATTTTACCCCATGTCGATAGTTACATAAAGAGGCTATGTCCTTGCTTAAAAATGTATTATTCCCCTTCTTTCAGAATTAGATTTTAACTTCAATATTTACCTTAATAGTTCACCTACAGAAGCCAAAGACAGAATGTTCACACATCCCTGCAACACAGTTTAAAAAAGAAAAGAAAAATAAATTCCCTCCCGAAGTAAGGAGCCAACACATTCCATTTATTTCCCATGCTCTAATAAATAGCTTGTGCTCTCTTGGCAGAATCAACAAGCAATGTTTTTTCCAGTTAAAAGGGAATAGAGAGTTTTTCAGGCTTCTCTGTCTCTCCCTGAGCAGATGGGCTTTCCTATTTAGCAAGTGGAACTGCCATAACCTTGAATGGGACATGAGCATGGCCAGACCATACGGTCCAAATGCCCGGACCTGGGTCACAGAGTGTCGTGAGTGACTGCACACAGAGGACCTTGCTCACTCCAGGACATTTCTCATAATGACCTGCACTTGGAACAGCATTAGATACAGAGGAAAACCCTGGCATTATAGCAGGTGTATAAAGTAGCAAAACATGCCCTTTCTTGTAGGAACTAACTGCTACAGGTTTGGAGATGGGAGCTTGCTACAGTATTCTCTGGGATCCAGGTGACTAAAGAATATCTCCTCGAACAAGTAGCAGGTGCTGCACACACTGCTTTGTATGCCTCATCTCATTGAATCTTCACAATAATCCTGGGGGGTAGGCACTTTGATTTTTTCCATTCTGCAGATGGAGGCAGAGAGAGGTTGAACGGTGTACCCAGAGTACCAGAAGTGTTACGGGGCACAGGCACTGAACTTGCTAAATTTCATGTGGTTTCTGAGCTCAGGTGAATCAGCAGTGGAACAAGCTGTGGTCTTAGTTGGGTTCACAATATGTGGCATGCCTAGCTCTGTAATGTCATTTCTTTGTTCGGTCTGGATACACATCTCTGGAAATCTCTGGACTCTCACTATGCTGTTGTTGTTGTTGTTGTTGTATTTTTTTTTGTTTTGTTTTGTTTTAACCTTAGTATGACATACACCCAAAATTCTGTGGCATGGGACTTATGTAATATTTTTCCAATGCATAATCTATTAATGAGAATTATGTTCTCGTCCTTAGGTCCGGTCACTTTCCATACAATTAGAGTATCATTTAGAACCTTGATTTATTTCAAGAAACCACCATATACAGTTCCCCTCTCTCCACATTTCTCCTAGTTAATGTGTTGTTTTCTCACTCCACACTCCCTCCTTAGAGCCCTGCAATCTGTCTCCGTGTTCTTCCGCTGACATTTTTCTCACCACTAGTTCCATTTCTAATAAATCAAATGGAATTTTCTCAGGCTCTCATGTCCCTCAAGTTCCCTGGATGTTCTTCTGTTAAGCAGCTCTTTCCTCTGAGACATCCCCTCTCCCTCAGCTCTTGCTGGTGCCTTGTCCCTCTTGGCAACTTCCTTGCACCTGATATGACTCGAAGCCCGTGTGCCTCACAGCTACCCTGTGCTGAATATGCCTGTATGTGTTGCTCCCTGTCCCCCATAGGATTTAACTGCAAACATCATTTATTGTACTACTTAGTTTCTCTTCCAGTGGGCCTAGCTAAGGGCTGATCGGATGATATTTAATTTCATTAACACTCACTTATTCTGGCTTCCGGCTTCCAGACTTAATGATACCGTGACCCCAATTAAGCTAAGCAGCTGATGAAGCCAGTGGTCATATCAGGATTATTTGCCTGATAAATAACAGATCATAATCAGTAGTAGGTCTTGGGGACCCGTGGCACCCTGACAATAAACTGCTTCGCCTCAGGAGTACCTTTTTTTTTTTTAAACCATTTCCTTTAGAAAAAAAAGGAAACCAAGGTAAACAAAACAAAACAACAAAAACAAAAAAACAAAAATGAAGAGCTCACTGCTAGTCTGAAATCATTTTGCTTCCAAGTCTTATCAAATCATCTCAGAGGCTTTGTTGACATTCTGTGTTAATGACTGGAATCCATCTTTCCAAATGGAGAGAGGCACCAGGGGGCCAAACACCACGCTCTGTCCAGAGTTCTGAGGTCCGAGGTCAGACTGTTGTGGCAAGCTCGCATGACCAAGCCAGCTGCCGGCGCGGGGCCTCTGGATGTGTTTCTAAAGGATAATATTTACAATGTTGGATAGCTGGACACTGTGGAGCTTAATGGGATTCTTAATAAAGGCAGCTTTCATTAAGACAGGGAGCACAGGCAAGGTGCCCTTGCTTTTGAGGGAAGGACAACCCGGCACAAGACTGATGCTCCTCCTCGGTTTGGAAATCATGTGGGTCAAGTGCCTTGTCATGCATTAACAGCCTTTTTAAGTTCCTGGTGGATTGAGAGGAACGGCTTAGATAAATGAAGGAAGAGGAATCACGCGATCTGTCTTGGTAGTGTAAACGCCGAGACACAGCAGCTGCATTTAAACAGAGCAATTTGCTAAATGAGTGGTTGGCTCCTTTCCAGATGGCCAATGTGACACAGGGCTTGGACGAATCCTTCATTCAATCATGCATCTGTCTAGACTGCCACAGGAGAGGCCGGGTTAGAGCCACTGCCCCAGCAGCCCACAGCCACAGCTGCAGCAGCTCCGAACCCCTTAGATGAAACCCACTCCTGTTGACCCCTGAGGCGGCTTGGCTGGATACCAGCAGGGGAGGCTGCGGCAGCAGGGCATGGGGGAAGCCTTGGGGAAAGCCAGCTCCTCTGCTGAAGGATGACCAGCTCGGATCAGGGACCGTCCGTGGACACGGCTGCCTGCTGGAGCACTCCCGCTGCCTACAAGGGACACGCACCCAGGTCATTCTCATCATCCGAAGCAGCTGAGCTTCCAAAGCAGAAAGACAGGCTGCAGGCTGCGCTCTATGTGTTTCCTTTATGTGCACTTTTTAAAGCTTTTCACACATGCTCTGTCTTGATTCTCCCAGTTAGGTTGTAAAATTCCCCAGGCAGATGAAAGAATATTCTTAGCTTTCACCCACGACCCTACTCTGTTGTGCCTTCTCTGTGCCTCTGACAATTAATTCAGTCCCAACTCGAGCACCTCTTTAGAGATGATATCTCGGAGCTATGGGCTGGGGAGGCCCGGGGATAGAGCAGATGATCGCCCCATTCTGGGGCCTCTGGATCTATGACACGTGTTGACTGACCGGGGGGAAACTAGGCCAGTAAAATGGAGCCATTTGATGGGCAGCCTGCCCAACTTTAATAAATTGGGCAGTCAGAGGACTTCGTTGGGCTGTAATGGGGACTTACAGGAAGGCAGCGCTATTGACATATTTCTCCCTGGTAAGTTATCCCCCAAGCCTATTTAATTTCTATAATTGTATTGGAAGTTTCCATGGTGGGAGTTTCACCATATTCTTTAGAGGCTCGTTGAGTTTCACGGCTAGGAGCTCTGACCAGTTAGTAAACAAGCCTCCCCATTCCCCGCCCCATGCCCATTAGCCCTCTGAGCCTCCACTGTGCACAGCAACTTCCACTTACTTCTGACTGGGAGGAAAAGTTTAACCTGGTGAATCACCAGCAGCACTTCCTGTGATCGTCTGAGGAAAACTACAGTCTGCTTCGGAAGAACTCTTTCATTTCCTGCTGTTTCTGATGTACATGGGGTGGAAAAATTTGAATTCTGCTCTGTGCCTATCCACCAAAGCTTTCTCACCAACATTTTTCTCTCTTGGAAGTTTCCTCTCATCAGGGTTCTGCTGACCCTACAATCAGCCTGAAATAAATGCATCAAACGAACAGGGCTGACCTAGAGATGGGTATAGCATCATCTCTCTGCCTGTCTCACCCAGATTCCACTTCTGTAACCATCTGAGCCCAATTTCCTCATCTGTACCACAAAGCCGAGAAAATGGTTTGTGGGATGATTTTGTCAATTCTCCCAAGGATGGTACTGAACTAGCATTACTCTAGATGCATAAGTGAGAAGCTAATCCATACACAAGGGAAGCCTTTGGGCGTGGTCGCCCTAGACTCTATCAATGGAGGTCTTTATGGCAAGAGTCCAGGCTATGGAAAGGGAGTTATTCTATTGTCTAGAATATTCTAGTAGTAGATATGCCAAAAGGCCAGAGCAATGAAGTCACTCAACTCTGAGATAATTACAAGTCTGCTCAAGTCCTTGCAATGAGCAAATAGTTCAGAAAGGGTATGAAAGTAGACTATTAATTTTAAGAAACAAGTTTCTCAGTATGCCGAGTGTAAGTAGCACTGATGAATATTATCAAATGATCTGAAAGTGCATGATCCTGGGCTAGAGGCAATCATATAATGAAACCCAAGGATAATCACTCATCAAGAGAACCTTTGTGGTATGACGTTGGTGAAGCCAGTCCTCCTGGCCTTCGTGGGCATATTATAAATGTAAATTCCCTTCTGCTGAGTGTCACTGAGTCCTCAATTCCAGGTCATCAGTGTGTGATCTCCAAGAAGTATGCAAATTGTGAAGACCTTGAAGCCTGCCAGAGCATGCTTAGGTGACAAGACAGGCACAGCCAGTATTTCTGCCTTAAAACACACTTCTCTCTCGGGCGCAACTGATGGCTTTGCCAGGTTGGCAACATGAACTCGTAGATGCTGCATTCACTGTAAGCCTTTTTCTAGTCTAAAGAAAATTTGATTTTTTTAAAAAAGAAACATCAAATGAGGACTCAAACACTGTTGGAAAATGTCCTGGCTTTTTAACATTCAAATACAGCTCCACAAAGAGTCCCCCACGACTGACATTTTATGTTATTTAAATGCTGTTAATTAAGAACTACAGAAACCAGCAGCGATGACCAAAGCAGGACTCTGACAAACTCCTCCTGACCTAAACTGCGACTCTGATTTGCTTAGAGGCGAAATCAAAAGAACACAGGGTGTACTGGCTCATTCACATATAGCCCACTAGGGGGCAGTGAATGATCGAGTTTCCAGCAGGCTGGCTTCCGTGAGGTTTGGTTGCTATATATACACCTGAAGTGTGGCAGGCCTTTTACACAAAGTGAGCAGCGCTGCGGCGATGACAGGTGTAGGGAGCAGCCAGTTATTGCTCCCAGCACAGTCTGCCAGAAGGATGAAGTGAAACGAAGCATTTGCATTTTTACCAATGAACCTGCATGATAATGAATAGGCAGGGTCGCCCTCATCAGCCCCGGCTTCGCCTCCCGGCTTCTGCCGGGCCACGGCCGCGGGCACCCGGCTGAACCGCACCCACGACTGCAGCAAGGGAGACAGGCGGAGCCGGGGGACCCGATTTACCAGGCGCCTGGGGCTGGTGACCACAGGGGCACTTCTGACCCGCGGCAGGGGTGGGGGTGGGGATGCCTCCCTCTTCCATCCCATCCCGGGGCCAGAGTCCATCTGAGAGATTCCAGGCGGGGAAGCCGCGCTGCATTAATCCAAGGACACCATTCACTTCGTCGTCTGTGTGAACGGCGCCCCCTAAGTTGGGAAGTGCGCAGGTCGTTGCCCGCTCCCCCTGCGTAGGGCCTCTGGGCTCCAGGTCATTGCACAAGAGCAGGTCAGCTCTCTCCCCTGAGGCTCGTTTTTTTTTTGTTTGTTTGTTTTTTGTGTTTTTTTAATATGTGTGTATGTATGTATGCGTGTGTATGTGTGTGTGTGTGTGTGTGTGTGTGTGTGTGTGTGTGTTTTAAATCTGCATTAAAAGGCTTTAGGGGAAGTAGAGAGCAAAATTAGAAATTGGGACCTGTTGGATTTCAGTGTCAGCGATGGTTCCATCTTCCTTTCTCTTCTGCCCGGCTTCCTCCATTCCCTCGAGGAGCTAGTGCCCTCCTGGTGGTCTGTCTTTGCCCTGTGCTAATACTTTCTTCAGGCAGATCCTAGGCTACCAGAGCATTCAACCTTAGTTGTGTTTACAGCACTCCGCCCCCTCTCCCACTGGAAACTGCATCTAAATCTTATTTGTAACTGGGAAACAGAGTACAGAGAAGGGACTTCTCCCTTCTGGCCCTGATTTGCAAGACCCTCTCCTGCCTAATGGGGGACAAATCAGATGTGCCCTTTCTACCTGTGCTCCGATGTCACTGCTTTCAGACTGGTTTCTTCATTCGGGCCCTGTTTCTTCACACATTGACCTAGGACATCCCTTCTGTTTTACTTCGAAGCCAGTAAAGCATCATGGTGAAACGCACAGACTTGGATCAAACTGCTTGGGTTCCAGCCCCAGTCTATCACCTCCCAGTAGCATGTACACTCAGAAATTGCATGACTGCTCTGTGCCTCAGTTTCCCCATTCTCACAAATGGCCGTCTAACATCACCTCATGGTTTGAAATGAATGGGTCAAATGGAAAGCACTAAGCACAACACCAGGCATATGAACCATCACTTCATACATGTTCCCTCTTCGTATTTTATTTTATTTGACATAATGTATTTCTTCTTCGTCTCTAAGACACAGATGCTCCCACCCTCCTCTTCTCCCCCTTGCTTCTCCCTGAAAGAATGGCAGATGGTCTTCTGACCCTTGAGTATACGCCTACCGCTCTCCTTCTACCCTTGGCACCTACCTGATCATCACCATAGAGAATCAGGCACTTGTCAGGATCTTCATAACTAAAGCAGAGAACATGAAGAGAAAACATCTTCAGACATCAAGAACAAGCTCAGGGATGGGGGTGGGGGTGGGGAGAATCTGACAAGTGTCCTTTATGTCATGCCCGTGTTCTATTTGTAGAACTGTCTTGGAAATAGACACTTGTTTACTTCGCCCAGATCAGAAGTGATTTCAGATTCTCTTCATTTAATTGTCTACTTCCCCTGTGCAGCTTCGTAATTAAAATAAGAAACTTATTTATAAAGTCAGTGCCAGAGCTGAGAGATAACTGTAAGGAGGTGCTCCTCTGTGAAGCTGACGCTAAATCATGTTGGCCAGCCTGGAAGGCGTGGCAGGCACACCCCACATGGCAGGGATCCCTCCCATCAGGTGGGAGTTGGAGAAAGGATGGAGGGACCATTGGCTCTCCCCAGTCCACGTGTGTAAGATGAAGAGTGTGGACATTCTTTTGACAAGAGGAGCCAGGTTTTTATGGGAAAATGTGGCAACTCCCCACTTTGAGTAAATGGCTGGTTCTAATGGTTTGGGTGACACTGGCTGGTACCAGGAAAAGGGTAAAGACTGCCCCATGGAGGAAGGCTTGAGCATGGGTGGTGTTGGCAGGAGGGGCAGGGAGGCAGGGAGGAGGGATGAAGAGGCTAGACAGGAGGAGATAGTGAGGAGAGTGGGCAGAAACTAGCAAGACCCCAAGTGTACCACTTTTCCCTGTGACCCCCGGAATCTTCAGCTTCATCTGCAAAAATCACAAAATGCTTCCTTCCTACTTACCTACCTTCCTTTCTTCTTCCCTCCTTCCTTCCTTTCTTTCTTTCTAGATTTTATTTATTTATTTGTCAGAGAGAGCACAAGCAGGGAGATCAGCAGACAGAGGGAGAAGCAGGCCCCCTGCTGAACAGGGATCTCCCTCCACACCCCCACCCCTCCATCCCCCCACCCCCCGTGCAGGACTCAATCCCAGGACCCTGAGATCATGACCTGAGCCAAAGGCAGACGCTTAACCGACTGAGCCACCCAGGCATCCTGCGGTTGGATTTCTTATCAAAACCAGTGAAATGGCTATGTGGATGCAAGAGGTGGACACCCATCCATATCTGGGAAGCATCAATGTTACAACTGCAAGACTTGTTTGACATTATGTGGCCACATTAAATCTGGCAAATAATTTGTCCATTTATATTGGATTTATTTCTTGTTCATTTCCAAAGACAAGAAGGGACCTAGAGAGACGTTTCTTTTTTGTGTCAGTACCAGAAATCTGTGTGTCTCTTAAACATCTTAATTATTATCTTATAGACAATATGAAGCTGCTAATGGATGTTGTTTCCCTCTTTTTTCTGACTTCTAGGAAGTCCAAAAATAAATATGCTATTCATTTCTAAAAATTGTTTAGAGTATTATAGGATATATTTTGCTTATTGACTTTATCTTTCTATATGTGTTTTTTGTCTTCAGCCCCATTCAAATATGTGCGTGTGTATTATCGTTTATCCAATTCTATACTCATTGCTATAAGTGTTCCCAAATCCTCTTTTAGACCATGTGGTTTTTAATAAACAAAAATACCAATAAATGCATTTTTGTCTCTCCTAAAGTTTTTCTACTATAATCTGTAGTAAAAGAAATGTTCTTCGAGTTTTGTTGTCAAAACTGTTTATTAATCTTTTCTTGACTTCTGTGTTTAGAGTCCTGCTTTTGCTAAAGACTTTTTTTAAAAGATCTTATTTTTAAGTAATTCCTATACCTGAAGTGGGGCTCAGATTCATGACCCCAAGATCAAGAGTTGAATGCTCCTTCTACTGAATCAGCCAGGCACCCCACAATAGACTTTTTTTTTAACCCTAATTATTGTTAAGATGCTCTCTTATTTTTTCTTAGATCTTTCTCTGGAATTTTTTTTTATGTATATTGTGATACAAGGACTTAATTTTTCCCCCTAAATCGCCAGCAGTTATCTGTTAGATTATTCTCTCACTAATTTGAAATGCTTATTTTATCAAATACTATTTTCAACATAAACATAGGTCTATCATCAATCCATTTGTCTCTTCTTCACACCAGTATCTTATCTCTTTCATTCACTGTAACTTAGCAGCATACTTTGATATCTGGTAGTTTAAGTCATTATGCTTTTTCAACATTTCTTGGCCATTTTCACATATTTACTCTTATAGATGAACTTTAGAATCAACCAGTTGAGCTCCAAAACAATCTCATAGAGATTTTGATTGGAATTCCTTTGAATCTGACATTTAACTTGGGGCAAGGTGACACCTTCACGAAACTGAATTTTCTCATCTGGGAATGTAGTCGCTTCCCATTTATTTGGGCTTTCTTTCATGTTTTTAGAAGGTTATCTCTCTATCTTAACATTTTTTAAAGTTTTTTTCTGGGAATATTCAATTATGTGCCAGTCAGTTTCTTCCTTAGAGAAGAAATAAGAACAATAGTCAGGAGTCAAGTTCCCCATAGCCAAGGTATACTTATTATGCAGACATTCTCCTGACATACAATTCTCCTGACATACAATTTCACAGCAAAGACCGGTTGAGCCCACATACGATGTTGGAAATACTGGCTAAGAACAGTTAGCCAGTAAAGTAAATTACAAAAAGGAAAAAAACAGTCATACATGTCCCTCAAGAAGATGAAGATCTGAGGCTCTCTGCTAAGATATCAAAAAGATCTGTTTGGGGGCATCTGGGTGGCACAGTTGGTTAAGCATCCAACTTTTGGTTTTAGCTCATGATTTCAAGGTTGTGAGATCAAGCCCCACATCAGGCTCTACATTCAGTGCAGAGTCGGCTGGAGATCGTCTCTCTCTCCCTCTTCCTCTGTCCCTCCCCTGCTCTCTCTCTTTCTCTCTCTCTCAAATAAATAAATAAATCTAAAAAAAAAAAAAAAGACCTGTTAGGACCAAATTTCTCTCTCCCTCATATTTATATAAAAGATTTAAAATGTAGAATTTAGCTCCTTGCACATTGTCATTCTCCCCATACTACTCTTTTCATAATTCTTGGGATTTACTATCAATCATAAATAATCCATTCAGTCTACCAGTTTCTCATTTCCTTACGACAGTTTTGTTTTCTACCATACTGCAGATACTCACTGCCACGGTCATGCCCTTGATATTGTCATTAGTAATAACTGCAACCTTCAGTTGAAAACCCCAATCTCAAACATTCTACCTCCAGTCTTTCCAGCTTATTCACACTGTACTACAGATTTAATTCCAGGACTTTCCATCCGTTGATCCAAACACATTTTCACTGCCCACGACCCTTTCATGCCTCACTTTCCTTCCCGTGTGACTTAGGTTCCTCTGTCAGTTATAACCACTTCCTCATGTGCGCCCTCAACTTTCTCTTTTGTTGTTCTTTCTTGGCACAAGCACACTCCTGATTCATGTGGACTTTCCACCCACCCCATGCATGAAAATGTGGCCGGAGACAAACCACACAACTGTGCTGAGTGGTCTGACTTCAACTTCATGACCACAAACCACAAATAAATTCTCAGTGCTTCCTGGCAGCCTTCCTTCGTCTCCCACTCTCCAAGACCATTTCTACTTCCTCCTTTGTCTGAAAATCTCCGACAGCTCCCAATTCCCATTCTCAGATCAAGATCTTGCTTTCTAAGTCTCCGAGAAAATGGAAACGCTCTACAGAGGCCCTCCACCAGATCCCACCAGATCCCCCTGGTTTATCAATGCTGTTGATCATTCCCATCAGCACACAAACATGCTCTTATTTCTCTCATTGGGAAAATTTTTTTTAAATTGTCTTGATCGCTTTGCCCCTCCAATTATCACCCCAGTTTTCTCCATCCTTTTACAAAAGAGTTGCTTGAGGCAAGGCTTCATGCTGCTGCCTCTGTTTCCCTTCCTGTTCCTATGTGAAGGCATTCCCAACAAGCTCTCGCCCCACTTCGCAAAACTGCAATGACCTCTAGTGGAAATTCTGGGTCCTCAACTTTCCAGCAGCTGTACTTGACATTGGTCACCCTGGGTTTGGGTACCCCGGACTCGGGCCTTGCTACCTGCTTGTGTGCCAGCAATGAGCACGTCCATCAACCTCAGGGCTTTACCTCTGTCTCTTTATGCCAATGACCTGGGTCCACAGAACATGCACAGATGCAACCACCCTGTATTTCTGATGCCCTTACCTGGTCCGTTTTCTTCATAGCACTTACCACTTCCTAGCATCCCTAAGTAATCATATATTGACTGTTAATTGTCTAAAAGCCAGGCTCTGCTAGAGCAAGGGTTTTTGCCTCTTTTATTCATTAATGTATCCCAACTGCCCAGAACAGTGCTGGGCCCATAATGAGCAACACTGATCTTTGTTGTTGATGCATTCATACCCTTCCAGGCTGGCCACACAAAGTCCTTGCACGCACCAGGTGTGTTCCATTGCACAGCCTTGCCTAGAACCAACTTTGTGGCTCATTGGTGTGCTGCCTTCAAGTCCTTGCCCCATTGGCACCTGGCAAGCTCTGCCCTGCCCCTGCCCCATGCTTTAGTCCCCTCTGTGCTACATTTGCTCTCCTTAGTCCTTATTCCTTAACATACTACCCACTGGTTTTGCATATAGCCTCTCTCTTCCACTAGGGTGGAAGTTCTCTGAGAGCATAGCTTGTACCTGCCTCTTTTACTGTCCTGGTAGCCCAAACATGCCTTGCATCCATCTGCGGAAGTACTTACTTAGAAAACATCCTTTAAAAAGTTATCATTGTGTGTGACTGGAAAACAGTCCACACTAGCTGGATGCCCTGTGTCTAGCTTGCACACTCTATTCAGATTCCTCAGGGTGACCCCCATCCACCCTTGGCTGCTTAGCCTCCAAGTTCCATGCCATGACCAGCCCCAGCCAATATCACAGCCTGTTCTGGATGTCACCAGACTTCCCTTCTCAGTCCCAGTGTTCCCACTACATGTGGCCTCTTTGATTTCTGAACCTCAGCCAAACTCAGGGACCACCTCACCCACTCTGGGCTTTTT